ACAGACCAGTGTTTGGCGGAAGATAAATTGACGCAACTTCGATCGCTCCAATAGACGTAGGCAGGGTGATGGCTGAGACCTGCATTGTTGCGTTGCAAATTGGCAGTAAAGGTGTATGCGGTATTGTTGCTCGTATGAGGATTGAGGATCCACCAAAGCAGTTTGCTCCTTCACCATGAGCCTGATAGTGTTCGTATCCGAAAATTTGTGTAGTGGGGCACTCATGAGTTTCTGTTATTAACATTATATCTATGTTTCTTGTGAGAGAAACGCAGCCAGTTCCTGAGTCTTGTTTCTCAGGCCATTGGCGTTCCAGATACCCACACGTAAAGCCATTATTTGTAGGCAAGCTTGGTTATGATGGCCATTAAACTGTTTAGCATGGTTGCTTGTTGGGATTGTACTTCTCGCATCGCTTTGAGCTCGGCATTAATTGCGTCAAACTGACGTTGTTGTTGCTGAAGCATTTCAGTGAACAAAGTGTCACTTGTGGTATTCTTATTTGACGGTCCACCTCTAGCGGCCTGTGCGTAAGAAACACCACTAATAGGCGTTGCAAAGCTCGTGGCTTGGGTAATGCTCCGGGGCCTTGTAATTTCGGAAGCAGTACTCGGACCCGTAGACGGTGTTTGTGTGGGACTCCTTTTTTGTGCTGGGGATTGCAATTTGCGCAACCGCTTGTATACTTGGCAGCCCTTATAGTTGGCTGGGTGCTGTAACTCACAGTGCACACAAGTTGGTGCCTGGTCCTTTTCGCGGGTGCAGTCTTTGGATGCGTGTTTCCCGGCGCAACGCACACATCTGGGAGCTTTGTGGCAGTAGCGTTGTGTGTGTCCAAATTCTTGACAGCGATGGCATTGTGTCAGGTCGTTGTATCTTCTTGGCAGTTCCACTGTGCAGCGTTGCCTGCAGACAACTCGAATGTCCAAAATTTCTTTGTTGTTGGGGGCCTGAGCCACGTCAACAAAAAATATATTAGCGGTGTTTTGTCCATACGGCTCAGTGGGTTGTGCACATTTGTAATTGTGTGGCCTTTGGTTTCCAATTCCTTTTTAATTAGTGTTGTATCAGTGCTGGAGTGAAGCCCTTTGAACACGACTCTATATGGTTTGTCCTCCTTAAGCTGGTAGCAGTGGAACTCCAATTCCAGCTTAGTAAAGTGGTCTATAACTCTGCGATAGTCCTCACTGCATTGGGTTAATACACCTATGTTATTCTTCTTTGGCTTAATTACGTATGATTTAGCATCAATTACTTTATCTATTATCTGTTGAAGTAGGGCCACAGACTTGATGTTTGGACACCATATGGGGGGCGGACGAGGTTTCGGTTGTAGTTTGCTGGTCGGTCAATACTGGGGCTTCTGGAGCTACAGGTGATTCGCTGTAGTCTTCATCTTCTTCTACGAGCAGTGAAAATCGATTTTCTGATATTAATGCTGCATTGCTGGTGCTTGGTTCGTCGAAGATGAGCCTTTTCTTGATGGTTTTTGGTGAATTTGGCTGTTTACGTTTCGTGTTTTTGTTGTTAGTGATGCCTTGCACGGAGGCGATATCTATTTTTGAGTTTATTGGCATGATGGAGGCTTGCCTATTTGCCATCACAACGTTAAGCTGGGCTTGCATTTCTGCATTTACCTTTACAGCTGTAGCGAGGTTATTGACATTAGATGTCATCGCGGATTGTGCTTTTGAGTGCAGGCGCACTCGCGCCAAGCGACGAAATTTCGTAAATTGCAATTAAAGCAATTGAGTTACGCGGAAGCAAGCGATAAGAAAACGCTGCGTGTGCGGTTTTTGTTGCTGTTGCGTTGAAGAATGCACCGCAAAGTTCTATTTTTAGAACTCTGCAGCAGTAGAGCTTAAGCGAAGGCTGTTCGAATTCACGTCTTTACAGGTCGAACGACTGATCGCGATTGTTGTTTGTAGTGTTTTTTCCTTTAGCAAAAATCTTTCTCTATGTGGAGAAATTATGAAGGGAATTGACATTATTTATAGCCGAGTATTAGGGCTTATGGCTCAATTTCTGTAGGTCTTTTATGGGAAATATTGAAAGGTTGTTGTGGAACGTGGGTGATAGAAAATAGTAATAAATATTAAAATTTTTGCGAAAGTTGTAAAGACTGTAACTAACCACGGCATTGTATAAGCCTGTTCAAGGCTATGTATAAGGCAGTGTATAAGAGTTTAGATAAGGCAATACTTGTGATAAAAGTAAGTATATGTATACGACCTTGAGACTTTGTATTAGACTTTGTTATGTACAATAGTATGTGTAACTTGTATTTGTATAAGAATAAGTGAGCGAATTTGTCTATAAGGGGATGTATAAGAATTTATGCGAGAGTAGCTTGGGCAGTATATGAAGAGATAAAAGCAGATTATTATAAATACTTTCAATGAAATATATGTTGTGTATCTTCGTCTATTAGACAATCTATATATATATATATATATATATATTTTTTTTTTTTATATAGTTTTATATAAAAAAAAGTTGTTTATCCAAAAGGCCAATTAAACATTTACTCAATCATTGCATACTTTTAGGCGTAATATGTTTATATGTATTTGTAGATCTAAAGGCAGTACTAAGTATATAAATAAAGCTTCTCATAATAAGATCTATAGTATTTCCATTAGAGTTCGCTTAAGTCTCTTAATAGCAAAACTTTTAGATCAGCTTAGGTATAGTTTGAGTAAGCTCTACTGAAGCTTTTACACTGTGCAAAATCTGTTTTTACTTGATATAACTTTACTCTAGCTTTAGCAGGTGATTAATTAATAGACTCTCCGACAAGTCCCAATGCAATTTGAGTTTTTGTTTTTTGCACGCCCAGCGGCTCGAACTTTTAATGGGCTTTCTAATACGGGACACACACAAGCCCAGAGAGGACACGATGTCCTGTTTGCCATGTGCACGTATAATTACATGGCAAAAAGTTGAGCATTTGGCTTTGGTTTTACCTTTAGCTTATGGCCAAATAGGCCGAGCCCAAAAAACATGCATTATGACTATTTTATGAAGCACGCGTTGGCAAACTTTGGCAGCAGCAAACGAAATGCAGCCCGAGCAACAGGACGAGTCCTGTGTCCTGCTGTTGGCCTGTTGTGCATTGCGCTGTGAGGTATTTATATAAGTTGCTGCCAGAGCTGTTGCTGTTGGCCACATCCTGTGAGTATCCTGTGTGTTTGTGTGCGTTCTGCTCATTGTTATCGCAACTGGTTTATGGCTCGACTAAAAGTCTTAAATTCATGAGCTCTCACTACGGAGCAGCATAAGTTCAAAGCCTATGCAACAGCATGAATGGCCTCCACAATAACTGCGTGTGTGGGTATGCGTGTGTTGGCCCTCTTGTTAGCCTTCACAGGCATATTATCGGCCTATAAACAGCATATGAGTTTCCATTCAGAGCCCCCACTCTATATGCGCCCTTACATATCATTCACAATAGGCTTTAAAGCTTCAGTGATTCAATGGCTATTGGCCCGAATCGCAGCTAATTCAATAGCTGAAAGTTTGTTCTAATGCACTACGCGATTATATATTAAATTTACATTAAATTCGTAACTGAAATAAATGTTGAAAAGCTGTTATAAATTATTTCCTTTAAGATTGTTTCGTTAGTTATTTGTCTCTTTCTGTCTTCTTATTACTAAGCGAAAAATATCTTCATTTAATTGATAATTATCTGACTCGCTCTAACATATAAGCAGTTAAGCTCACAACAGGCCCATTAGTGTATGCACGTACGTGTGTAAACGCGCTCTCCATTTAAATGCTCTCTGTCATTCACTGCCCAAAATATCAATGCTGTATTACAATTTTTTTTTCTCTCTCTACCTTAATACTTTTAACAAGTTCAACTCTTCGTCTCGCTCTCGCACAGAAGAAGCTTAACTAACGACAGTGGCACTAGTAATAATTCAATGGCAAGGCTCTTAAGCGAACTTGCGATTCGGTTTCAGCAGACAAACATTAGCTCAATATTTTAGCTCTGTTTATTCACGGCTGTCCATCACTCTATCTGTCTCGCTCTTGCGCATTAAAATCTTAGCTGGAGGCAGAGTCAAAGGTTGTAGCTGAATGGCAAGAACTGTGCCGGATAAGCAAGCTGCACCCGGTTTGAATCCTGAATATCAATTTATATAAATAAATTTTTTTAGGATGGTTTTGTAACTTATTAATCAATTTTTTTAATAATTATGACAACTTACCTAATATTTACTAATATTTACTTACTAATACCCACTCCTAGTTAAAAATGTTGCTTTACGCGTTGATCTTCCTTTGGGATGTCGTTACGAAGTATATTTCTATAATCATGGACTTTATCTACCAGTCGAATTATTTTATGGCCTTGGTTAGCTGCATTATGGCGATAGTCTTTATGGCGCATGTGAAATCGGCGTCCATTATATTGACCGACTTGTGCAGCCCAAAAAATCAAAGGTCTGTACTTGATCGACAGCCGTCCCCGATAAATATTGTGCGCGGCAGGGTCTACAAACTGGAGCACTTGGATACGCTGCGTTGGTTTTGCTACAACGAATTGCCTCCGGCGGTGCTGCTCGAAAACAATGGCAGCACCGTGATAATGCGCATTTCCTGTTCTCCGGAATGTACTCCGTTCCTTGCAGGTGGGAATTTACCTGCAAACTATTATTTTGTGGAGGCATCATTCAAGTGGGGCAGCTCGGAGCACTCGATAGACTCGCGCAGCTATGCCATGGAGATGCAAGTGCTCCATGCCACGAATATAGCAAATGCCTCTTACGAATATCTAACAGTATCCTACATGTTCGACTTGGCACACCAGAAGAACTATCATCTCGATCAGATTATCGACAATTTGGGCTCCATACGCACAGCCGGCTCGGTCATCGAGCTGCCACCCTTTAACCTAGCCTCCTTGATGTGGTGCTTCGGCAACGACTATTTTAGCTATCGCGGCACCTACGCCAATGGCACTGCGCTGCTACCCAGCCAGTGGGCCATTTGTCCGCGCATCTTCTACATCAGCCCCGATCAGCTGGCTCGCTTCAGAGATCTTTACGATATGAACGGAAGAAGAATCCAATCGAACTCACGCCAGAAACAGCCGCTCGGTGATCGTTGTGTTGCTTTGCATTGTTAATATTTGATTACTTAACGTTTAATTACTATTTTTAAATATATATTTCATATATATATTTCTTGTATATATATTTCTTCCTATGATCTTGCGTTGGGCTTCATAAGGTTAAAAGAGAGCCAGTGAGATACTAGAGATGAAAGACAACTTTTAGCTTTTGTTTGTGTTCACTTGGGTAGACTTCAATGCAAAGTCTATAGAAGAAGCTCTATACTTTGAATACTTAATTATCATACGGAAGTATCTTTCATATACATAATATCAGATGAGTTTTCTATTCTAGCCATTTTTATCTATCTGATTGATGTTATGTCTTCAGATCTTTCACTCAGAGCTGAGCAAGCTTCAACAGTTCGAAGACTTTAAGTCGAGTTCATAACTGTTTTTATAACTCGATTACTATATGTTGAGCTCTGACTTTTCTTAACTCAGTCAATTTCAATACAACAAATTTTTTAGTTTTTAAATTTTATATTTTATGCCACATTTATCCTTAAGTTAAACCAAAAAGTTTAGTTTTAGCCCCTGAAAATGCCCTGGCCATTCTTTGTTTGGATCAACAGCGTGCCTTGAGCTAAAGAGAGGGGGGAGGGAGAGAGAAAGAGGGAGAGTTGGAGTTAGACAGAAATAGTTAAAGAACAGTGAAAGGCTATACCCTAGCTGCCATTGCTGTTGGGTATACTTACGTTCAGGCTCAGCGCTGGCCAAGGCCACAATCAAAGCGAAGACGAAACCGCAAATCTTGATCAATTGCATGTTGGTATATAGTATATATATCGTAAGTGTATATAGTGAAGTGTCTGTGCTGCGACTGATGCGCTTTAAGTCTGATACGGAAGCGGCGGCAGCAGCTGCTTTTATAGCAGCCAAGCGGAAGGAAAAGCGAACAGCAAAAGCAACGATAATTGCAGTCGTTATCAGGTTTTCCTATACCCTGGGATTCACTGAAAGCGACTAGACGGGGTATGATGTCTTTGATCAGGGCATGGCCTAGGCTGTAAGCTATATATATCATTAATCAGCACTGTGACTTGAGTCGTTGTAGCCATGTCTGACTGCTGGCTCGTCGAGATGGCGCACAAACAGCTCAAATCTCGTGAACTATAAAAGCTACAGACTTGAAACTTTGAATATATATTCTCGTATACCCTAATACTATAAGTTGATAATTTTTATTCGATATCTCATTTACTTCCCTAATATCGATCAAAATCGAACTTGTGTTTAAAAGCGTAGGCAACTAGTTTTATGATTAGGTTCTCTTAAAAAATATTTACATTTTTGTTGATCATACTAAAATATTAATTATTTAATTATTTAATAATCTAATCTAATATATCTAGAAACCGCAAATTTCATTAGGATCCTACACATAAAGCAAAGTTATCCAGGAATTCTAGTGCCTTAGAGAAGGACTTAGGGCTAAATCAAATATGACCATGTCTTCAAGCAGGGTATCTGCCTGTCGAGCACTTACTTAGCCTCTTGCTATCTTTTCGTCTTGGGCTTTGCCCACAGCTCGAGCAGCTTAGCACGTGTTCCAGAAGAAAAACCCAGCAGAAGCTGAGCTAACATTTCAATGAAATTTGAATGCATTGGAGCACATAGTCAAAGTCAGTTCGAGAGCCAATGAAGCAGCGCACAGTGGGAAATTTGCTCAAAAGGTGTGAACAACAAACTAAGCAAAACAGATAAAAATACCAAAAAAAACTTAAAATTAGCTAAGAATTATTAATAAAAAAAAGTTTCAAATTTGATTTTTGGCACAAAAATAAGCAATTGCCCCACTGTGCGCTGGCCAATCGAGTCTAAAGGCAAGCCTGAAACAAGTCTAAATTAATTTCTTATAAAAAGGAGTGAGCAGCAGGAGTGGGAGGCGGCTATAGGTTAGGGGCGTGGCTGCCTCAGGCCTCCCATCGACTTCTTGCAGCACAATTCGCGTGGTCGCAAAATTCACTTTGAAATAAGAGATGAAAGATGGCGAAGCTCGTTGCGAATTCCTCGCGCGCAATGCCAAATGGCAACAGTGAGGCCCGGCTATATTGACTGCCCACACACACAGCTGCCATTGCCTGTTGCCGGAGCAACCATAAATTGTTGTTAGCTGGAATTTTGGTGCAGTTGAAAATCAAAAAGGATTAGCCAGAGCCAGAGCCCGGCTACCGCCCAGGCTGGTTGGCTAGGCTCTGGCGGCTGCCTTCTGCCAGTTACAGCGGACAGCCAAAGTCTCGCCGACACAATCATACGAGCTGTTAAGCCAAACGGCCGACTTCTTCTATTACAATTTATTTCAGGCGTGGAAATATTTGCGGTAAAAGTTTCACATAATTGTTGATGTAACGAACCGAGCTGCAGCTGAGCCGGAGGCGGCGGCGGGGCCCGACTCAGGGTTAGGGGTATTCCGCCAACTGAAAACAATGCACACAAATAGTTTTCGCCTTTTCGGTTCAGCCCAAAATTGTTTAAAGTTTTGCTCATATACAAATATGAAGACTTCGCTTCCATAGCCAAGAGCAATTAAAACCAGTTCTACGCGGGCTTGCCTGACTAGCAGATACTCGGCAACACGTCGAGGTGTTCCTTATCTTTAAAAATTTAGTCAAATTTCATACAAAAGCTAAAGCCTTATTGAGTCATAGAGGCATAGGCATGCCAAATGTTTACTGAGCCATCATTTATAATATGCCTGAGGAGCATCAATGGACAGATATGCTAGAGGTAGATGTACTTAAAATTTGTTATCGATTTTTATCGATTTTCTGCAAATGTAAAATGCTGTGCTATAGCTGGGCCTATATGCGCCTAGCCCTTCTAGTTGCTGAGATCTGACTGATGGCCAGAGAGGAGGAATTGGCCTGCTTAACTGCTCTGTATCTTCTTATTAAGAACATTTATTCAACAAGGACATTCGACCACGCCCTCTGCTGCCTGTTACATACATTTGAGCATAAACAATATGCCCTACTTAAGCTTTTGCCATGAGCATAGCTCACTTAGAACTTTTCATATTTCGATTTTAGCTGCATAAAAAGAGCATATAAAGAATGTATACAAATGTATATAGAGTAAATACATATATATACACAATATATATAGCAGACTAGACATTATTATGCACATTGTCCCGCTCAGTCGGGGGCATTTCCAATTTTATTTACTATCAGAAGACAACAACAACAACAAGAACAACAAATGTCAGCTTAGCTGATAACAAGTTGATGCAAAAAACCAGTTCTCATCATCTGTCTAGAACTACGTATTAGCTATGTCACTTGCATATGCTTTAACGACTAGCGAATACCCTACACTTGCAAAGACATCTGCTGTCAACTACCTTTTATATATAAACAAATTATATCCAAGTCTTACAAGAAATAGATCAATTAACCAAGAACTGAACTTCATTTGTCTAGAGACCTTTCGACTAGCAAATACCCTACACTATAAAGGCATCAAGTAGTTGCCATATATATATATATATGTTTATATACCTGTACATTAAATCCCCTAACTGTTTCTCGTACATCAATTAAAGCTAACTTTGTAACTGGTTTCCATAAAGCAGAAATCTCTATTCCAGGAAACCATCAAGTACTAAGCAAATAAACTCTTCTCGTTAACAACTGCGCATGGCAATTCTTACATATCATTAATATGGCAAATACCCTAACTCACATGTGGAGTATTATGAAACTGTAAGATGTTATGACTGCTTGAGGCCAAGAGAAACAAGCGAGAGCTTTTAGAATGAATGTCAGCGCAAAGATAATTAATCTATGGACCCTATATAGGATATTCGGGTTACACTTGTCTATTTTTATTTATTTTTCTTTATTGCAATCTCAAATAAAGAAAGAGTTGAAAATATAATAGAATATTCGACATATATAAAACAATTAAATATACATATACATATAGAAATCATGTATTAAAAAATATGTATTTAAAAATACAAAAAAATATATAAAAATATTTTCAGAAATAATTAAAAAGAAAAGAAATTTTTCTTTGTTTTTTTTTTTAACTAAAAATAGAAAAAAATATTTTTTAAGAAATGATTTCAATAAATTTCTTTATAATAAATATTTTTGGATAAATTATAAATTATTTTTTTTTGTATAACAAAATAAATTAATAATTTTAAAATATATATTTTGAAATAAAGAAAAAAAATATATATGTATATATATATTTATGTATATATGTATATACATATTTATATTAATAACCCTATATAAAAAGTTGATGTAAAATTTGTATTGAATTTATGACAGTTATTTAGTATTGACACCAAAGAAAATATATTTCCAGAGCATGTATATATTTAAGTATAACATTCATGTTTATGAATCAATTGCTAAGCCTTCAGTTAGAGCATAGCAAATCGTTGTGATGTCAGAAATATTTCTTCCGTACCTTTTGGTATTTAGTAAACATTCAAGGAAAAAACATTTGCATGCAATTTTATGCGCTGGCTGTAAGTAAAATAATATTTTTGCTGCAAACGAATGTAAATTGAAATGAAGAAAGAACACAATAACAAAGTTTTGGTTTAGTTTAACATTTTCATTTTTATTTTATTTGCGATCAGGAGGCGATTCAGTTTCATTTGGAAGGTCTGGGACGAGCTTAACCCGTGCGAATGTATTGAGTGTTGTCGGTCTGAATGAGCACAGTGCCAGCTGCAAGGAGTAAACAAAGTGTGATTGATGTTGATTGAGCGCTTGATTGACTGCTTAACTTACGTTTGGGCACAGGCTCTGCGCTGGCAAAGGCACCGATGAGGGCCAGGAGAAGTGCAGCTGCTTGAAAGAATTTCATCTTTGGATTGGTTTGAGTTTTTCGTATTCGATAGATACTGATTGCAGCTGAGAGCTGAGCTGATCTTTTATAGCAACTGCTGGCTGATGCGTCGACAGCGACTTCGACTGCTTCTGATCTCGGGAAATTCCTAGAGATTTGGAATTTTGCAGGTTAAAAGATCAGAAACTCAATACAACAGACAATCAGCAGATCATTTGAGACTTGAGGTGAACTGACGTGAGCTTAATGCTACCTATAGAGTATAATAGGTATATATAGGCAGGTTTATAGAAATATCAGGGGTATAGAGAAATATTAATGTATTTAGTCGGGGTATATAGCCAGGCTACTAATACTAACAGACATTGCGACAAAGAGGTACAAAGGAAAGACTCAATGCAATACAATAGAATAGCACATTTAACTCTATATACCTCTATAACACTGTATACATATATACCTCCACATACCTCTATACCTCCTGATACTATAGAGAAGTGAGCTCAAGCGTTGTACTGAATGAAATTAGAGCAGTACCCAGAGCAGTGTCTGTACTTATATAGTTAATAACATAAAGCCAGGGTCAATCTCTTGAGAGTGTACCGTAAAGAGAGTTCGCATTGAGCGCAAGGCAAAAACTAGAGCAATCAAGTTCACTAAACAGTAAAAACTCGAATGAACAGCTTTGAGATCTTAAAATAAAATTAAGCTTTGTATTTAGATCAAGTATGCAAAATGCACTAAAAGTTTTTTAGTAAATCGGCATTCATCTTTGCTCACAAAAGCTTAAGGGCATCGACGATCCAATTGCTTTTCTTCTTACTTTGGGGTCTAAACATTTTTAGACCCTCTTAGCATTGGTATTCTATTAAGATATCACGAACTAAGCCATTAACAAAGTATCATGATTAGCAAAGCTTTACTGTACCCAGTTCATTCCATGTCATATGTTTACTATTTATGTATTTAGATGCACTTGAATTATTACTATGTAACAGCAAATGCACAATACATTATATCAGCTACGTTCATATATTCAAATAAGATTCCAATTAGAATAAGCATCACAGTTCCAATTATCAGTTTAGTTGTTGGGTATTTTCTATATACTGTAAATAAATACTGATTAGCCAGAGCCACTGGAAATTCCAGTCAAGCTTCTAAGCTCTGCTTCTGACAGCTATAAAATCTCATGGCATTACGATCGCTTGTTCATATAGTCAGAAGTAATCAACATGAATTGTCTAAAGATCTGCGGATTTGTTTTTGCTTTGATTGCGGCTCTGGCAAGTGCGAATGCTGGTAATTATATATATTATATAAATTAATCAGTGACTGCATCTAATTTTAATGTAATTTTGTTTTGTTTCTATAGCCACGCAAGTGATTCACTCTGGTGGACATACGCTCATTCAAACGGACAATGGTCAATACATACGCAAACACTAAACTGCAACTACAACTTCAATAAATTAACAAACAAACAATGAAAAACTAATTTAAATTTGTTGTTTTCATATATTTGAATTATGTGTGGTGTTTTTTAGTTAGGTTAGAGCTGGTCACACTTTCGAGGCAGCTGCATCGATTGCTGCTTGCTTGATCGATTATCGAGCGACCGCCACAACCAGCAGCTGCTGCTTAGCTTCATTACATTGGTCACACAGTTTTATATGCAGCTTAGCTTCTCTTCACTTGGTATTTACATATGGGCTTGATCGATTATCGAGCAACCGCCACATTTAACTGCTCCTCAGCTGATTTAGTTTGGACACACTCTTAACTGCAGCTTAGTTGTGATCTCTTGTTTAGTCGGCTTTTCTGAATGTTTTAAATATAAAAATGAGTTATAAGTGTGTCTATGCGTAAATATAATACTGTAATATATTGTTAATATTTAAATTTATATGTGGCACAATAGTATTATCATTCTCTTACAGACTTATATATAACTGCAATTTGCCTTGCAAGCGGCTTAGCTTATCGCAGACAAATGACAAGCAACAAAAAAGTTCAACAAAAACGTGCCAAGCTGCTGCAACAACAATCAAAATAAAGAACAAACACAACAACTAATATAAACAACAACTAACCGCAAAAAGCCAACCGCAACAACAAGCCACAATCGGCGAAATCATCAACACTGGCGCGACAGTCCGGCCCTTCCAGGCTGCCCAGCGGCCAGACGAGTGAGAGGGAAAGAGACACAGAGAGAGAGAGGGAGATAGATTCGTTCGTGTCAGTTGCAATTTTGACAACGCCAACGAACCGCAAACACCCGCGCAAAAGTCATGACAACTGCTGCAGCATCAGCTCCTGCTACGGCCACGCCTGCGCCGCCCCCTCCTCAAGCTAAGTCGCTAAATGCGCTACTGCACTTGCCCGCAGAGATGGAGTTGAGCCAAATTGAGTTGATCTATCGGGCGGAGGGTAATGCAAATTTGGTCCTGGCATTGCCGCAATTTAAAAAAGTTTTACGTTTGCCAAAAATGATATCCAGCAGCAGCAGCAGCAGCAGTTGCTGCCAGCCGACCAGCGCAGACCAAACGGAAGGACGGCAACCCAGCGTTTCCGACCCAAGCGAAGCATCAAGCTCAAAAGGTTGAATGCTGCATATTCACTACATATATATAGAGTACAGTTATAGCATAGTATTTATATGTCTGCTGTCTTGTTATTGTAGTTAGTTTCGGTCAGGAAATGTTTGCGTGCAACTTCAAACATTATGCCCAAAGCAAAAGCAACAACAACAAGACAGTCAGAGAGAGATGAGGCGTGTAAAACCTTTTCAAAGCGTCAAATATGTATGTTAGTGCTATGATGGGATATATGATATATATGTTAATACTTTTAGTGCCCTTAGTGTTATATATAGTATGTATATGTATATGTATATGTTAACCCTCTTGGTCCCTTGTCTTAGCTGTTGGTTAATCAGTTTAAGTTTACTCAATATGCGATTGATTTTTCCTATGCTAGCTTTAAGTTGTAGTCATCACTTTGTATTCCATCTAAGACTTAAGTCTTAGGTTGCTGAGAAAAGGCATCTGAGTTGAGCTCAAGTTTTCAGGCTGTATATATTTGTATTATATTTGATTAGCTCAATTAAGATCTGCTTATGTTAACTAAATCATTTTTTACCACATAGTCAAGCACTTGATGGCTTAGACTGATAAATACAAGAGGAGCTCTGTGGCTCGCAGAGTACCCTGGTAGATAAATATAGAGAGATGCATAGAAGTATATATATATAGAAAAGTAGACTTAAAGATCTATATAGTATGTAGCTATATAGATGCATAGATGCCAATGCGAACTTTAAGACTCTTTAAGAGTGTTTTATATATATAAATTTCTGCTGTCATATCTGTTTATAATGCAGCGCAGCGAGTGTATAACAATAAGAGCTTCCTATTTCACTGAAATCGCAGTCAAAAGCAAAGCCAAAGGCAATAGCAGAAGCAAACTTGGTTCCTTTTGGCGTTGCTGTTGGCCAATTTGTGTATTGTGCGATGCTTATTGCCCGCTTGGCTGCCTTTGTATAGCACAGATAGATGTATATATATATATATATATATAGATATAGTTATAGATGTGTGTGTGTGTGCATTTGTATAGAGCTGTGACCCTAGTCATATCTGTTTTTGTGGCTGGCTGTGCAGCTTCTTTTTGGCCATTGCATCGAGATGTGTTTATTTCCATTTATCTTATTTCTTGCCTTTGCCTTTCTCTCTTTCAGCTGGCGTCTTGACAATGCCCGATTTTATGGCTTATATCGAGATAATGCGCCGTCTATTAGGAAATGAGTTTGTCTGTGCAGCGGATATTGTTGCCATACCAAAGGAAAGCGATAGATGCTGGATAAACGAGCACATACGCAGGCACAGGCCGGGTGAGTTCATCTCCGGAGAGACGCAGAGCGAGACAGAGACAGAGACGGAGCGGGAGGGATGTGGAGTTTTTGGAGTGGCAGCTGCTGTGTCATAGTTTTATTTTGTATTCAAACTGAGCTGCATTTGCTGCTCGCCTTTGGCCTGCATCCAAAAGCCGCCGCCGCCGCCGCCACGGCAATCAATCATAAACGAGCTTTTTAGTGCAGACTTTGCCCTGCCCTCCAACTGCTCCCTGCGCGCTGCTCGCTGCTCCACTTTCTACTAAATTGTACATCAAAGTGGAGCCACATGGGACTGATTAGTGGTGCCGGCCAATAGTCGCAGCCATATATCAAAATTCGGTTTATATTGCACCAACAGCAACAGCAACAGGCGGCAGCTCGCCGCTCGCCGCTCGCTGCTCGTTGCTCGCTGCTCGGAGCCACCATTTATCATTGCCCAGCGGCATCTACTATATATCAACATACAGTGAAATCTGGCATAGACAAACAAGTTTGGTTAAAAGAGCTTGTCGCCTTTTGGCAGTTAGCAGACGTCAAGAAAATGATGAGAGATTAATTTGATATGCATGTACTAAATGTTTTAAGTATAATTATAAACAGGTAGGGACGATGTTTAGTGTATGAATTGCCTCTACATATGTAACTGTCTATGGGAGATGTCCAGGGTGCAGCATATGGCATGAATATGTACTAAATATCAGTCTGACTCTATCAGAGATGTTTAATCTTTTAACATCTCTATATATGTACTAAATATAAAATAGCGCCTTTAGTAGATCATTCATATATACGTATTCTGTTATATATGTACTAAATAGTGTACTAAATTTGAATGAACAGCCTTTGAAGGTCTCTAATATTTAATATTATATATTTTTATATGTGTACTAAATATCCTTTTGCAAGACGCCGCATGTTTAGAATATATGTAGATGTACTAAATACAAATACCTCTTTGACAAAATATTTGACACTAATAAATGTGCTAAAAACATCACAGTGAAGTATATCCAATATGTACAATTTTCATGTATGTACTAAATGAAAGAAACGTTCATAGATGTACTAAATGTAATTGTGTGCCCAAAGCAGGGTTTTAGTGCGTTGCATCTTTATATATGTTCTAAATAATACACTAACTAATAGGAAACTTTCTATACTTGTACTAAATACGTGTTTGCCTATAGTGAATTCATTAGTTTAAAGACATTTCTAAGTCGCCAAGTTTTTTTGTGACAAATTGAGCTGTCCGTCAGCATAGATTTCACTGTATATCTACAAATATATCAGTTGAGTGGACTGCACTTTACATTCATGTTTCTTCGCTCCTTTTGCAGTTGCGCGTCTGGATAAGGAATTTGTGGGGCCATTCGGTCTGCTGCTGCCAGATGTGACCCAATTGCCTGCCACATTCGATGTTTTACTTGCCAATTTACAGGTGAGTTTCTATCGGGATATTGGCTACCCTATATATGTATATATATGCGGATATCTATATATATATATAGATTTCGTACAAGGACAATATTGGCTGGTGTTTTTTTTCTAGTTGCGCCATATGCGCTGCTGCGGTTTAGCTCGCTTTTGTGCACTCGAAAAAGGGAAAAAAGAAAAGAGGGGAAAACGTAGAGGAAGAACAAATATTTTGTAGCCAAAAACCTAAAACTGTGAGCCGATGCACATGGATGTGGACATGCAGCAGCAGCAGCAGCTACAGCAGCAGCAGCTAAGGCAACATAAATCAACGGTTCTTTGTTTTGAATTAAAGTGGGCAACAGTGTAAACACATTGTTGTTGCTGTTGTTGTTGCTGTGGCTAGCGGCATTGGCAGCCAAAAAGCTAAAACCTTCGCCTGGACCCGCTGGCCGTTTCGGTTGCTGCGGTTATAAAGGACGACGAAAATTGCTTTGAAAGTGCCGCCAAAGCCACTAGTTCAAATATACCCTGTAAAATATAGGTGTTAGGTAAAGAGGTGAACGGAATGTGAGCGTAATTAGAGAACAAATGATAATGTAGCTCAAGAAGCTTAAAATAATGCCCAAAATTTCAATAATATTTCAACAAAAGCAAAATGTTCTAAGATACAAGTTAAATTCTTCTTTTCTTTGAATGATAAAAAAAAGATTTTATTTGATTTGGACGAAACAAGTCCGTTTTATTCAAATTGAATTTGGCAACTGACAACTTAAATCAATTCTATCCCTAGCTAAGCTGTGGTTCAGTCAACGGCGCTGGCAGCGGCGTCGCTCGTGGTGTTGTTGGCCCGTTGTGCAATTCTTCTTAGAATTGCTGCAGCTCTGGTTGGCGTGTGCAGGAAGTCCACTAGACGTGGTGTCAGCAGATTTGGCTTATGGAGTTTGTTATGTCTTATTTGTGTTGCAATAATTCCCATTGGATTTTGTTGCAATGTGGAATTATTTTCGTTATTAACTCTTCCCCCTTTAATTCGAGCTTGTCCTCAAGCGATTCTTAAAAGAAGGGAATGTCATTGAACTGTATGTTCTCTATTGTTCGTCTTGGTGCCTCTGTTACTTTATTTACTTGGTTATTGTCCAATAGTAACGTTATTTTTCTAGCTCTCTTTGTGTAGAGGTAGGCAATGACGATGGTTATCGCTACAATGCAGATCAATATTACAGATGATACTGCGTGTGTCGTAAGTTTTAGTTTTTCCAGTATTTGGCTATTGTTGAGGTGTAGTGCCTGCAAAGCCTTTAGCGATAGAATTTGGAGTCGTCTCGATTCTTCCGGTGTCATCTGGATTATTGATGATCCGACTCTCAGCGTGTTTGTCTCTAGATTGCTGAAAGTCCGGTTGCCAATCGAAATGGACTCGTTGGTGAAGCGAATTACGTAAGTGCCATTTAACCATGTACTTTTTTTGTCCGATGTCACCATCCCATTAAAGTTGTTAAGCATCAGAAGACCATTGGCCAATTCGTCGATGGGTTCCACATGCTCAGCATTACTGAACTCACACAGCGACTTTTCTCCATTGAGGAGCCTAGGCAAACATGTACTATTGCTAATGTTGACAATGTTATTTTTAGAACAAATCTTAATTTTATTATATTTCTTACAGCTTTTAATAATTCCATACATTACATTTTTGTGCGACAATATTTCTTTGTATTCTATATTTATAATGACATTATTTCTTATTACTGGTTTTACTATTAGGTTTTCGAATTCTGTTTCTTCTACGTTAGGTATTTTTATTACATAAAACAAAGTAGTCGTATTGTGAAATATGGCCACGTCTGAATATTCTAGCATTTCTTCTACGGATAATGAAGGCATTCTGCCAGCTTTGAATATCCTCTCTATTTCATTAACTTCTGCTTCTTTTAATAGATATGAGTTTATTACGTTAACTTTTGCCCATTGTATAGCATATTTTATATTAATGACTTCCTCTTTGATCAATCTAACTTGGTTTTGTAAACTTTCTGCTATTTCATATGTGAATCTATCGTCTTTCCTTATGTTGTTTGTAAGGCTATTGGTGATTGTAGTTAATTTATTTAGTCTCTGTTCTAGTTGTGAATTTATTATTACCTGCCTATTATTGTTGTCTATTACTTTATTAATATGTTCCTCTATTTGAACGAAGTCATCGTGATCTGGGCTGCCTGCTACATACTTCCAAGCTGTGCCTAGGATATTAATAGCCCTTGAGGTCCTTTTGTTAACGTCATAGTCTATGGTACGTAAAGTCAATTGAGTTTGGTTAATTTCGTGGCACAAGGTATGGTATAAGCTGCTAAATTTTAAATCTTTTTCTGTATGGAACTCTATTTGCTCTAATGCTTCTTTGATTTTGTTTAGATTGAAAATATGAATTATTCTTGTTGTTGTTGTTTGTATTTTGCCTAGTCCATCGTGGATCGTAATAGTTTGTGCTTCTGTGTGATTTGTTATGTCCATATTTGGTTCTATTGGTTGTACCGTCACCATCAGTATTACAAGTAATCTATAATTTGTCAAACGTTTTTTATGTTACTTTTGTGTACGATGAGATTTGTTGATGTTAGTACAGTCGTGTTTCTGTCTTCTTTTACTATTGCCTTTTTATATCTAGGTGAAAGTTTAGTACCTAATCGTGTATTTATTTTAATGTAGATTTCTTGTCCAGGTGTGTAAGTTCGTATATCGTTTCGCGTCTTGTTATGGTTGTGAATGTCTGTCGTCTGTTTTTGTTTAAGTCTGTCTATATTATCTTTCCTAGCTTTTTCATACTGTTCTGGGTCTGTCGTCACGTTTCTGCCAAAAAATATGTCGAGTGGTCGTTTGTTGGTTGTTGAGTGTATAGTGTAGTTATAATCGTATATTGATTTGTTCAGAAGTTCGTCGAAAGTTTTGTATTCGTTTTTTCGTCTATTACATCTCATAATCTCTGATAGTGTCGAGTGGAATTTTTCCACTTGCCCATTGACTGTACTCTTATGTGGTGGGGTTTTATAAATTTCAATTCCGAGTTGGTCTTTCATCATAAAGGTTAGTGAATCTGAGTTTAGGGACTTCTCATTATCGATGACTATTGCTTTTGGTACGCCATAGTAAAAGAGTATGTCGTGAAGTGGTTTTTTTACGTCCTCTATTGCTCTGGATTTGATTGCTCTTCCTTGAGCGAGTTTTGAAAATTTGTCTATTGCTGTCAATACTAAGTTCTTTTGTGTTGTGTATATATCGATGTGTACTATTTGTCCTGGGTATTCAGGTATTGGGGTTTCTTTTAATTTTGGATTATTCGGATGTCTGTCATATTTCTCTTCCTTGCAAACTTGACACTGTTTGACAAGGTCTGCTATTGTTTGTTTCATTTTAGGAAAATAATAAAGTTCTATCATTTGATTTCTATTCTCAAGTGCGTTCCTATGTGCTCTATTATGGGTGGCCAAGATTTTTTCGTCTCTTTCGGTTTCGTTTGTTAGATCTTTAACCTGTGACTGTGAGAACCTAATTTTATAGTTTTTGAAGTGTATCGGATATATGGTTTGGATTTGGTGCATAACATCTTCTGAGGTTATTATGCCATTGATAACAGAAGGGTTGAGACGAGCTTTTAATATTTGTATGAGATTATTTGTTGTGTAGCTTGGTTGAGTTATTATGTGCCTATGGAAAGTTGGGAATGGTATATAGAATCTGTAGTCTGTTTTATTGGCCTTTTCCAGAAATATCTGGTTTTTAAATACGTTTATGGGTGCTTCAATGCTTGGTATTAAGTTATGGCTTGAACTGTCTGCACTGTGTTGTGTGGAGGCTATCGATCTGATATTGTTTATGGTGGGGATTCGAGATAGCGCATCGGCTACAATATTGTCCCTTCCTGGTTTATAAAGTAATTCGTAGTCGAATTCTTCTAAATATGCCTTCCATCTTTTTATTCTAGCGTTTCCGTTCCAGCTACTTAACGAATGTGTTAATGGCTGGTGGTCTGTGTATATTTTTACTTTTGTTTTACCGTACAGGTAATTTTTGAGAGCTTTGAGTGCCCAAATGATTGCTAGCATTTCTTTCTCGTTTGTAGCGTAATTTTCTTCCGCTTTTGAGAGAGTTCTAGAAAGGAATGTAATTGGATGGCGATTTTGAGATAAGACGGCTCCAATGGCAAAGTTGGAAGCGTCTGTCGTTAAGTGAAATTCTTTTCCGAAGTCTGGGTAGTGAAGAATAACTTCGTTTGAAACTAAAGCGTTTTTTATCTTATTGAAAGCTTCTACCGCTTCATCGTTGAGATAAATCAATTTTTTTGCGGATAGGTTTTTGGACACACGTCCATCTTCCCCTCTTAATAAGGAGCTAAGGGGTTTTGCCAACTTAGCGAAATCCTTAATGAATCTTCGGTAATAACTTGAGAGACCCAGAAATGTTCTCAAGTCTTTAAGGGTTTTTGGTAGCGGGTATTTGATTATCGCTTCCACTTTTTGTGGATTTGTTTCGACTCCTTTGTCGGATATAACAAAGCCGAGAAACTCAACTTTGTTTTTAAAGAACTCGCATTTGTCCAATTGACATCTCATATTGGCTTCTTGCAGAGTTTTGAAGATTTTGTCTAGATTTCTGGAATGTGATTCATTATCTTTGCTAAAAATGATAATGTCATCTATGTATATGAAACATATTTTGCCAATATGTTCATGAAGAATATTGTCTAATGCCCTTTGAAAAATTGAAGGTGCGTTTTTTAGACCGAAAGGTAGTCGGGTAAATTCGTATTTGCCATTATTAACTGAGAATGCTGTTTTCTCAATGTCAGCCTCTTTCAGAGGAATTTGATGGAAGCCACTTTTTAAGTCAAGCACTGAGAAAATTTTATTATTTCCAAGTTGAGCTAGTACTTCGTTAATTTCTGGAATAGGGTATTTGTCTGCTATAGTTTCTTTATTAAGTTTCCTATAATCGATAACCATTCTATATTTTTTCTGTTGGGAAGCG